TCATCTGTAAAATGGGGCTAACAGGAGCTGTGCTTCCTGGTGCCACCCGGAGGATAGCTGGCAGAGGGGAGTTTGTATAAAGCGCTTTAGTACCTAGTAGGTGCTGGGTGTACCCAGCTGGTGAGGCTGTGTAGGTGACTGGGGTTCTGGCGCTGCACAGGGCGGAAAGTGGGGGTGTCCGGCTGTGGAAGATGGTGGGTGCTGGGGAGGAGGCAGGGATGGGATGGGACCAAGTTGTCTGCCCAGAGTACCTGGCTCTGGGGACTTCCTAGTCCCTGTTTCCCCTTTGGGATATTCTGCCTCTACCCTGTCTCAGCTGCTGCTAGGGCCTGCTTTCTCCCTCACGGCCTGGGCAGGCCAGGGCTTGTGCCTGGCCTAGGGTCTTTCAGCCGAGCCTTCACTGTTGGATGAGGGCTGGCGTGTCCGGGCCCCGAGTTCCCAGTCTGTAGGGGAGGTGGACCTCCAGTCGCCCCCCTACTCATGGCCCTGGGAGGGTGACTGCGTGGCTCCAGGAAGGCCAGGGACAGGGCCCTGAGTGGGTCCTCCCTGGGCTGGACCCAAGGTCGAGGGGTTAGGCTGGCAGCCTGTTGGGGACTGCACTGCGGCAGTGGGCTGGTGTGGGAAGGGGCGTGGGGTTCTGGGACGGGCACACCCTTTCATCTGGGCACCACAGTCAGGCACATCTGTCAGGCCGTTCTCCCACATCCCATTCGAGAGGCAGCAACACTTCATCTGTTGAGCCTTTATGTGGCACTGATTGTGTACACTATTATACCATTTTACCAATGAGGAAATGGACTCTGAAAAGCAACAGGTGGCTGGTGTTAGGTCACACAGCTAGGAGGCAGCAGAGTAGGGGGGGGGCACCGCCTGCACCCTTAACCCCCAGGCCAGGTCACCCCATCAGGTGGGCAGGGAGTGGGAGGTGGTGCCTTCTTGGTGTTCTCACCACAGCCTGGGTGCTGGGCGTCAGGGTGGGGGAGACACTGATGGGCACTGCATGGGCTCTCAGAGGTCCCACACCAGTGGCTGAGGCCTTGACTGTGGGGGTCTCTGCCTGCTCATGAGCTCTCTTCGCCCCCTCCAGGTGGGGCAGTCCTGGGGTGGTGGGGGCACGGCGGCACCAGGCCGTGCCCTCAGGTCCTGCCCCTTGGCCCCCACAGGCGGGCTGCATGCTGTTCCCCCACATCTCCCCCTGTGAGGTGCGTGTGCTCATGCTCCTGTACTCGTCCAAGAAGAAAATCTTCATGGGCCTCATCCCCTACGACCAGAGTGGCTTCGTCAGCGCCATCCGGCAGGTCATCACCACCCGCAAGCAGGTGTGCCAACCCAGCACAGCCCTTGTGGGGACAGTGCGGAGTTAAGCCCGGCCGCCCAGGTTGTGCAGCCAGACTTGCTGCAGGTGGGGTGTGATGCGATGGCTGGAGCAAGGAGCTGCAGAGGAGCTGAGAGGAGAGGGCGGGTTCCCATCTGGGCTCCACGGAAAAGTGGCCACTGGTGGGGGGCTCTGAAGAGCCGGAGGGTGGATCTTGGCGGCACGGGTTGGGATGATCACGAGGCTAGAAGGCCCTGGCCTGTGACCATGTGTCCTGGTTGCACCTTGCCAGTTAAGGCAGATGCTGCGGGCGCCCAGCTGATGGCCGGGACCTGTCTCAGTGCATTGGGAGCCTTGGGGGGGGCTGTGCGCAGGGGAGGGGCAGGGCCTGTTCCTGGGAGCCTGCTGGGGGTAACTCGGAGGGAGGGCGGGCCCCAGGACAGGCAGGTTTCCTGGGAGCCTGGGTCCCTCTGGCCACCCCCTTCCATTCCCGCAGGCAGTGGGACCTGGTGGCGTCAACGCAGGCCCGGTCCAGATCGTCAACAACAAGTTCCTGGCGTGGAGCGGCGTCATGGAGTGGCAGGAGGTGAGCCCTCGGCAGCCCGGGGACCTGGGACCCCGAGATCCTCGTGGCCTATGGCTGGGAGGGGACACGGGCGTTGGGCGCCCAGCCCTGAGGGGCTCCTCTTTGCCTCTCCCACAAAAGCCCAGGCCTGAGCCCAACAGCCGGTCCAAGAGGTGGCTGCCGTCCCACGTCTACGTGAACCAGGGAGAAATCCTGTGAGTGCCGGGCTGGGGGCGGAGGTGACATCCAGGGGAGCCGGGGCCTCCTGACCCTTGTCCCCTTGTGCCCCGCAGGAGGACCGAGCAGTGGCCGAGAAAGCTGTGCATGCAGCTCATCCCGCAGCAGCTGCTGGTGAGGGCCTTCCCAAGGGCGGGGCCGGGGCAAGGGCGCCTCTAGGGAGCCTGAGCTGGCTGAGTGGAGGCGGAGCTGCAGCAGGCCCCGGGGTCGCAGGTACCCAGCCTGCTGTTGTGTAGCCACTGAGCAGGGCCACGGCGGCCGTGACCTAGAGGGCTGCCAAGATATCTGAGAGCAGCTTCCCCAAGATTCCAGGGTCGGGCTAGTTGAGGAGGGGGCGTGAGGGGCAGAGATGACATTTCCTGAGCTAGGGGAAGACGTGAGAGCCTCGGTTTGGTCCTGAGCCCAGGGGACCCAGCACGCTTCGAGGGGGAGGCCTTGGTGGCAGAAGCCAGAGCCGGGGGTCCCCTCGCTTCTTCACAGACCACACTGGTGCCACTGTTCCGGAACTCACGCCTGGTGCAGTTCCACTTCACCAAGGACCTGGAGACGCTGAAGAGCCTGTGCCGGATCATGGACAATGGCTTCGTGAGTGGCGCCAGCAGAGGCTGGCAGGGCCTGGCCAGGGCAGAGGGAGGCAGGACCGCTCACGGGCGTGGACGTGGGAGAGGAGCTGAGCGCCATGTCCAGGAAGGCTGGGGAGAGGGTGGCTGGCTCTGGAGGGCTCTGTGCTGTCCCTCTGCACTGGACAGAGGGGCACTGATCTCAGTCGTATGGGGCTGCCCCTGCTCTGCCATGTCAGGGTTGCTCCCACTCCCCAGGGGCAGGTGCCTTAGTCACTCCAGCAGGTTTCCTAATGGAAAAACAGGCCCTGGCAGCTTGTGCCACATCCCAAAGGCCCCTTGCCGGGCAGGGAGGGCTGTCTGTCCCCTAAAGCGCCCCACAGGGTCTGGTGGTTATTGTAGCAGAGAGTCTGCTTCTCTCTCGGGCTGTTTCTCCATCTGTGAGGTGGGAGGGTTGGAGTTCACCTGCTGATGTCCACCTTCCATTTGGGCCATACCTGTAATATCTGTCCCGAAACTACCTTACAATTACCTTCGACTCACTTTGACTGTCACCATTTGTGCATGGAGGGTCTGGGTGTAGATGCTTTTATAGTAAAAAACTTTCAAGACTCCCCTTGGGCCGGGCACGGTGGCTCACGCTTATGATCCCAGCACTTTGGGAGGCAGAGGTGAGTGGATCACCTGAGGTCAGGAGTTTGAGACCAGCCCAATCACCATGGTGAAACCCCAGCTCTACTAAAAATAAAAAAATTAGCTGGGCAGGGTGGTGGGCACCTGTAATCCCAGCTACTTGGGAGGCTGAGGCAGGAGAATCACTTGAACCCGGGAGGCAGAGGTTGCAGTGAGCCGGGATCCTGCCACACCCTCCAGCCTAGGTGACAGTGAGGCTCCATGTACCGCAACCCTCACCTTTGCTGGGCTGGCTGCCGCAGGTCCCTGGGGCTCCTGAGTTGGAGTCGTGGCTGGTTGCTCAGGTGGCGTGGCTTCAGTGAGGTGGCCCCAGACAGCCTGGCCTGCCCAGGAGCTCTGAAATGCAGGTTCCCGGGCCTCTCCCTACAGAGCCTCTTGGCCATGGTGTCCTCATCATCATAATGGGGCCCACCTCTGGGGGTTGAAGGGAGTGTGAGGACAGCAGTTAGGCAGCGCCTGGCCGATGGAGCCCATGGCAAGGTGCCCGCCCAGTTGAAGGAGCGCTGGCCACTGTGGTGCCATCTGGTGACACCATGCCCTGTGCCTGCCAGGCTGGCTGCGTGCACTTTTCCTACAAAGCGTCGTGCGAGATCCGCGTGCTCATGCTCCTGTACTCCTCGGAGAAGAAAATCTTCATCGGCCTCATCCCCCACGACCAGGGCAACTTCGTCAACGGCATCCGGCGCGTCATTGCCAACCAGCAGCAGGTCCTACAGCGGAACCTGGAGCAGGAGCAGCAGCAGCGAGGGGTGAGGCAGCCGGCCCCGGCCTGTGCAGTTTCTCCCACCCTTCCCACACGCTCACCCGGTTTTTCTCTCCACAGATGGGGGGGTAGCGGCTACCCCGGGCTGGGCCCCTCCAGGAGTCACAGACGAGGCCCCTGCAGAGACTGGTGAGTGGTGACCCTGTCAAGTCCAGGAGGGACTGGGGGCTGTGGGGGTGGGGTTGGGAGAACAGCAGGGTGAGCAGAGCAGAGGGGGAGGCACAGTGTTCTCGGTGGTCCCAGGCTTTCTAGGCAGCGCAGTGTCCAGGCCCAGGCAGGGCCTCTGCTCACAGGGATGTGGGGTCAGTGCTTGGGCGCCTGTGGCCAGCAGCCCCCACTGCACCCCTGCCCCTAGGTGACACGCTTCTGAGCAGGGGCCCCTGGGGACTTCGACTGCCCAGCAACATGGAGGATGGCGTCCTGAGGGCTCAAGGACGGTCCCCACCCCTGTATGTTTCCCCAATAAAGCCTTTTAAAAACCTGCCTGCCCCTCTGCTCCCTGCCTGATGCCTGGCAGCCCAGGTGCTCATAGGTGCCAGCCCTGGGTTCAAGGCCAGTGCTGCAGAACCTGAGGCCGGGGTTTTGTCCTTGGGGGTCATGCCAGGTTTTGAACTTTTAGTCCTGGGTTGGGCTTTGTGGCCTCACCACCCATGTCTGGGGGGCCACGCAGCCCCCTGCCCTGGCCTGTGCATGCCCTGGTCTCTAAAGTACCCGTGTCGGATCCCAGCAAAGCTGGAATCCGCTCTGTGGGGGCCCCTCCTTTTGTTACCTGAAAATGTCCCGAAAGCCTCCATCCATGTAACAAACTGCCAGGCCTGGACCCCTTCCCCATGCGACCACCCTCCTCCCAGCAACAGGCCGGCCAGGTTCAAAGACAAACAGCGTTTATTGTGGAGGGAGCGGGGTGGGTCAGCCCTCGGAGAACTGGCAGTACAGCCGCTCCAGCCTTGGCTCCAGGCACAGGCGGAATGGGATCTCCAGGATGGCCGAGAAGCCTTCCGCCAGCGTTGGGGCCTCGAACTGCTTCCTAGCAGTGGTGAGGACAGTGAGGGACAGCCCAGCTTACGGGGTCCAGCCAGCACCCTGCCCCCTGCGGGCCCCAACCCTACCTGTAGCCGTACATGACCATGTCTGACACGGGGCCGTGTGAAGAGTCTGTCATCTCGCGAAACTGGGGGTACAAAGGGGGGCAGCAGGCCCAGGGGTCACGGGGAGGGGTGGGTGTGTAGGGTTGCAGCCTGGGGGTGTCTGGGCCAAGCAGGCTCACCCGGTTGTTGTGGCGCGCCTGCTCCAGAGTGGCAGTGAAGAGGAAGCAGCGGCAGGGGACGCCCATGGCTTGGGCACACTGGACATACCTGTGGGGGAGGAGCCAGATGTGCAGGCCCCGCCGCAGCCCCCCCACATCCCTCCGCAGTGCACCACGGTTCCACTACCTGGCGCGGCTCGGGGCGTCCGGGTTTGTGTTGTCGACGGCAACCCGTTTCCCTTGCTTCAGGGCCATCTCACAGGCAGTCACACAGCGCTGCCAGGAACCCAGTGTGTCCTGGGGGCACGAGTGATCACAAACGGGGTTGAGGGGGGAGGCAGTGATGGAGGGAAGTGCCCCCAACAAGCTGACAGATGGAGAAGGAACTGGAGAGACATACCCTGTTCACGTGGACGTATCCGGCTGACACGAGGTGCTCCTTGAGGAAGGAGGACTTACCAGCTGTGTGGGAAGCAGGATTGGTGGGTGGCCTAGTACCCAGGGGGAACTCAGGGCATCCCGAGGACGGGCTGGGCACTCACCCCCAGGGAATCCCACGGCGACAACCACCTCCGGGCTAGAGCTCAGGAGGGCCTTGGACTCAGGGAGGCATAGAGGCCCCAAGCGGGAAACGGTCCTCTGGAAGGGACGGAGACGCGCATGAGACACCATCCGTCCTAGTCCCGGGAGCCCTCCCCTCCCCGCCCCGCCCCCCCCTCCCCCACCCCAGGGCCTCACCGGGTCAAAGGCGGGGAGCTCGAAGCCAGCCGCTGGCCACTTCAGGAAGAACTCCTCAGGCGTGGCAAAGGGCAGGCCGAGGTTGAGTGCAAACTGGGGGCGGGGACAGACGTCAGATACCGGCACCCAGGGTCAGGCTGGGGGCAGGGGCGGGGGGCCTCACCAGGCGGTCCGCGCAGGAGAAGTCTTTCTTCTTGCGTCCTGGGGCCCAATTGGCTGGGCGTCCGGCCGCATCTGGAACACATGACACCCCGTCTCCACCAGCTAGCTGGGAGGGAGGGAGGGTCCCAGCCCACCCTGAGCAGCCCTCAGGCCCTTACCTCCCACGAAGATGCTGTCCGCGATGGCGATGGGCGTGCCCTCGTTGGCCTACAGGAGACGGCAGTGAGGAGGCCCTTCCCATAGCTGTCCACCACAGTGGGATAGGGCTGCTCCACCTGGTCTGTGCCCCGTATCAGGCCTCCTCTTCTGACCTTCTGTGTCCCCACCCTCCAGCCACTTCACACCCTCCTCCTGGCCCTCGTGGAAGCCCCATCCCTCCAGGCCTCCTGGCTTCCGCCCCTGCCCGTTCCCCACAAGGCCGCCAGAGGGCGCCTGCCCAGCTTCAGCTCCTGTCTCCCTCAGGGCAAAAGTGATGCCCTCCCTGTGGCCCTGTCCTCTTCCTTCCCTTGCTCAGGGCCAGCTGCATGGGCCTCTGTCCCTAATGAGCCCAGCCTAGGGGCTGCCTCAGGGCCTTTGCACTTGCTGTCACTCCCACGGGGACCACTTTCCCCAGGTGTCCATGTGGCTCCCTCCTTGCCCTGCCTTAGGCCTTTCCAAAGATGTCACCTACTCAGAGGCCATCCCTGCCTATCAGGGCTGAAACGATGCCTGCTTTCTCCACCTCTTTCCCTCCCGCTGTTTCACACGCTAGTCTGCCCATCGGGTCCCGCTGGACGAGGCTGTCCTGGTCACTGGTATTTTCAGTTCAAGAATGTGCTAAACTTTACAACAAATGCACACACAAACGAGGAAAGAGATAAACAGCTTCTCTCCCCTGATTTAGAACGTTTAGGAGCACTGGCCTCATAAACCATCACCTAGAATGTGACAGCAAGAAACAGAAGGCGGGACCGAGAGAGGTCAGGAGGAGTAAGGAGGCTGGGACCAGAGGCCTGGAAGTGAGGGGCTGGAGCAGGGGAACGGAGGGAGGCTGGGCAGGCTGAGAGGCTCACCTGCTCCTGCAGATGGTCCCACATGCCTGTCACTGGCTTCCGGTACAAGCCTGTGTGCGTGGCCACCAGCACCTGTGGATGGGAGGGGCCACCAGTCTCAGCTCCCCCTCAGGCACCTACTGGATGCCACCCCAGCCCTCACCCAGCCAAGCAGAGCTAAAGCATTTGTAGCTGATGATGGGTTCCTATCAGCGTCACCCCTGAGGCCTCCACCCCACCCACCCCAGGGTCTGACACCCTCTCTCTAGATCTCTGTCCTCCCACATAGCCCCTCAGTCTCCCAGCCATACCTGGAAGGGAACCCCCAGCTTCTCCACCACAGCCTCCACCTTGGCCTTGAACTCCTCAGCTGGCAGCTTCCGACGCCCGATGCTCATCTGGTTGGTGAAGATCACTAGCTGGGGAGCAGAGGGTATCACCAGGTGCCCTGCTCACCAGGGCCTGGGCGTGTGCCCATGGAGGCACCTCCTGCATGTACCTTGTAGCCTTTAGCTTCCAGCTCCCGGAGCTTACGTGGAATCTCTGGGTACAAGATCCTAGGGCAGGTAGGAAGCGGCGGGGTTGACCTGGGGCCAGAAGTGAACTCCAGGCCTCACTCACTCCCTTCTTTTGCCTCTTATCACCTCCAGTCACTGGGGCCGGTGGGAAAGACCTTCCCAGAGCGTGTGGTGATGAGGGTCCCATCCAGATCAAAGCCAGCCACCTGGTATCACCAAGGAAAGAGGAACACCAGCACTGTTACACCTCTGACCCTCCCCACTCACAGGCTGACTCACACCAACCCTGTGAGGCAGGGTGTTACCACTGCCATCTCACAAATGGGGAAACTGAATCACAGCACCTCCATGTCAGGTATCCGTGATGCCACTGAGTGCAACCAGATATTGTAATGTCACTGTCTCCTGTCACTTCCTATGCCCCCAGCCCCAGGATTCCAGTCTTTAAAATGTGGGTTAATGTCTTGCCCAGCCTCCTCCTTCCCCTGGCCGCCTCCACCTCAGAGGCCTAATAACAGTGAAAACAGGCCGAGTGCAGTGGCTCACGCCTGTAATTCCAGCACTTTGGGATGCTGAGGCTGGTGGATCACGAGGTCAGATCAGGACCTGTTAGCCAGATCCTGGCTAACACGGTGAAAACCTGTCTCTACCAAAAATATAAAAAAAATTAGCCGGGCATGGTGGTGGCACACCTGTTGTTCCACCTACTTAGGAGGCTGAGGCAGAACTGCTTGAACACCAGAGGCAAAGGTTGCAGTGAGCCGAGAAGACATCACTGCACTCCAGCCTGGGCAACCGAGCAAGACTCCGTCTCAAAAAAAAAAAAAAAAAAAAGGGGGGGGGGGGGGACCCCCCCCCCCCCCCCCCCCCCCCCCGCCTGCGGGGGGCCCCCCCCCCCCCTCCAAAAAAAAAAAAAAAAAGTGGAAATAAAAACAGGAGCAAAGCTTTGGGTGCTAACGGCATCTCAAGGACTATGCCACGTGCTTTTTATCGAATCAGCATCACAGAGATGGGAGACATGGGACTCAGAATGTGGCAGTAACAGCATTTGAACTCAAGTCTCTCTGGACCTAAAAAATACTCATAATTGCTCCTAGTGAGACGGTCATGGTCAATGCTGATTAGTGGGTGGTCACCGTGGGTCATGCAGGAGCTGACATACATCCTTTTCCCCCCTGCTTACAATGACCCCCGTGTTTGTCATTAGGCCCATTTCTGAGAAGAGTAAGTAAAGGCTAAAAAGAAGTTGAGAGACAGCACACAACAAACCTAGGACTGAGTCCCAGTCTGTGGCGGCTCCCTCAGGCCCGGGCATGCCCCTCACCTTGCTCTGGGGTTTCACCCCCACTGCGGTGAACACTAGCAACTTCTCCAAGTTCTCCCAGCCGGGGGATGACTTCCGAATCCGCTTCTTCAGGGGCTCAGGATCCCTCTTCTCTTGGGACACCGGAGGAGTGCCACGTGGAGTATCTGCCAGGGATTCTGGTGTGCGGGTCTCTTCCCAGCGCAGGGTCAGTGGGTGGAGGCCATTGACCAAATACAGTATGTCCCCCACCCCCAGAGAGCACTCCAACCCCGGCTTCAACTCCTGGGTCCCGGCAGTTGAGGGGTTAACACCCAGCTGCAGAAAGAAAGGGAGGAGCTGGGACTGGCTTCCCCCACCGGGAGCCTCCTCCAATCAAATACCCAGCAGAAGGAGCGGCCTTTCCCCACCACTAGTCAGACCCTTAAGCCCCACCTCTTCCCGCCGTAGCACCAATCATGGCTTTGGAAAGGTTACAGGTTTCCAGCCCGGCCCAATTTCTTTTTCTCTTTCTTTTTTTTGGAGAGAAGAGTCTTGTTTTGTCGACCAGGTTGGAGTGCAGTGGTGCAATCTCGGCTGATTGCAACCTCTGCCTCCCAGGTTCAAAAGATTCACCTGCTTCCGCCACCCGAGTAACTGGGATTACAGGCACCTGCCACCACGCCCGGCTAATTTTTGTATTTTTAGTAGAGACACGGGGTTTCGCCATATTGGCCAGGCTGGTCACGAACTCCTGACCTCAGGTGATCGCGCCCACCTGAGCCTCCCCAAGTGCTGGGATTACAGGCGTGAGTTACCGCGCCTGGCCGCCTTGTCCAATTTCTAAGGGGTTGTACGGGTATCCACCCCATTAAAATGGGCAACACTTCTTTCTTTACTGGACACGCCCCCTTCTCTTCGATCCGTATTTTTTCTTTCCCTTTTTGAGACAGGTTCTCGCTCTGTCACCTAGGCTGGAGTACAGCGTGGTGATCGCCGCTCACTGCAGCCTTGACCTAGTGGGCTCAAATGATGCTACCGCGTCAGCCTCCCGATTAGCTGAGACAAGGACGCACCATCATCCCTGGCTAATTTTTTTGAGAGAGGTCTCACCTGAGTTCAAGCGATCCGCCCACCTGCGCCTCCCAAAGTGCTGAAATTACAGGCGTGAGCCAACACGCGAGGCCCCAATCAGATTTTCCTAATGTAACCTTTCACTGATGGCTTGCAATTCCTCCCCAAATCCCATCCCCAAGCCTTACTGCCCCTTGCAGAGGCACTGATACCTGTTTCACTGCCACTGTCCGGGTCTCAGGATCTGCGACCAGCTCTACTGAGGATTGAAGGGGTGAAGTCAGGATTTGTATCCTTGTATGATTGGTTCCCTCATTTCTGGGGAGTGCGGCATGCCTCAGGCTACAGCGTCCATTCGGGAGGGAGTAGGAGGCAGTTTATTTCTACCTGGGACTGGCTGCTTGACATGCCGTAGCCAGACGGTGGCACTAGGATTGCCTGACAGTGGTCCTTGTAAAGGACAGAGAGGTACTTTTCTCTGTAAAACTGGTCTCCTCCTTGACAAAAAAATGTGGCTAGATGCAAGTCTGGGGCTTGGCCTGTTACCGTCCATCCCAACCTAGTGACATTTACTTTTCCCCATAGGACCATTTTTTTCTTTTGACAAGAGTCGTCGTCTGTTTCCAGATTTCCCTATGGCCAGAGTATTATCCGCGCAGTGAACATCCTCCCGAAACTGGTTCCCTCCCCTCTCCCCGCAAGGATCTGGCTAATTCTAAATCAAGCACAAACGTTCTCTTCCTGTGCTCCCTAGAAGAGCACCTTCCGACTTCGGGGCCGGCTGCACCACGCAATGCCGCGTAGCGGCCAACCAAGTCTCCCCGCTTCTGCAGCAGGCCACACCCCCTCGTGCTCAGGCCCCGCTCACCTTGAGTTCTGGAGCACTTCCGGTCCGTGACCTGGGTCAGGGGTCCCCTGCCCAGGACCAGGGCTTGCCCGTCTGAGGGCAGGAAAATTGGAGGCGCTCCCCCTGGGGGGCTCTCGAGCCACAGGCGGCCCGGGGCCTCCACCTCGCCCATCCTGGGTGCGGGCCCTAGGAAGCAGGTAAACCGGCTTGAGCGGCGCACGTCCCCAATTTGCTCCAGGAAGTCCCGCCTTCTCCCACCTCCGCTAAGAACTTTTCACAGCGCTAACTGCTCCGGAAGTCCCACCCCCTCGCCTGCCGCGGGTCGCGTCGTTTCCCAGGCGACGATGCGTGCTTCATCTCTCCGCGAGCTGGGATTGTCACTTCCCAGGATACAGGCCAAGAGCCTCGCACGTGCCTCCGCTCCCCCCTCCACCCCTCGCGCACTCACCCTGGCCAGCTGCTCGGGCTTACGGCCGTTTCTGACTAGCGAGGTCCTGCCCGAGGCACCCCGCCTGCGACTCGGCCGGCGGTTCTCAGCGCCTCGGCGGAAGGAAATGACTCGTCCTCTCGAGGGGGCGGGGCCTGTGTTCCTCCCACTGTAGCCACGCCCCTTCCCTCGACCTTTGGCCCCTACGGTTCCTCGGCAGTTCTGACCTTCATCTCTCTTACTGCAACGCGAGGCTTAGGCCGGTAGCGGGGACTGGATCCTCCGTTTGCATATCTGTCTCTTTGACTTCTTTTTATTTTCTTTCTTTTTTTTTTTTTTTGATACGGAGTTTCACTCTTGTTACCCAGGCTGGAGTGCAATGGCGCGATCTTGGCTCACGGCACCTTCCACCTCCTGGGTTCAGGCAATTCTCCTGCCTCGGCATCCCGAGTAGCTGGGATTACAGGCACGTGCCACCATGCCCAGCTAATGTTTTGTATTTTTAGTAGAGATGGGGTTTCACCATGTTGACCAGGATGGTCTCGATCTCTTGACCTCGTGATCCACACGCCTCGGCCTCCCAAAGTGCTGGGATTACAGGCTTGAGCCACCGCGCCCGGCGACTTCTTTTTCTTTTCTTTTTTTTTTTTTTTTTTTTGAGACAGAGTTTCACTCTTGGTGCCCAGGCTGGAGTGCAATGGCGCTATCTCGGCTCACCGCAACCTCCGCCTTCTGGGTTCAAGCGATTCTCCTGCCTCGGCGTCCCAGATAGCTGGGATTTACAGGCATGCGTCACCACGTCCGGCTAAGTTTATATTTTTAGTGGAGACGGGGTTTCTCCATGTTGGTCAGACTGTTCTCGAACGTCCAACCTCAGGTGATCCGCCCTTCTCAGCCTTGCAAAGTTCTGGAATTACAGGCGTGAGCCACCGCGCCCGGCCATACTTCTAATTTCCATCCCCGTTGCTGGAGGTAGTTACCAGGGGAGTGAGGTTTTTTCCCCCACCTGATGGTCATGTCAGTCAAGGAAACCTCCTCCCTCGACAGCGCCCCTAAATCCTTCTTTGGCTTTACCTTGTGTTCTAGTTTCTAAATCTGTAAAGGCGATAATCGTTTCCATTTCGTGGGATTACTATGACGATTAAAGCAGTCAACATGACAAGCGCTTTTTAAAATGTCTGGGTGGTATTAAAACGTTTCAGTCCTGCTTAGTGTTAGCATTCTTGCAGTGGTGGTCTGGTGGGAGATTACATTTACCTGTCCTAAATTTCGGACGAGGTTCCTTCCACCTGTTCTGTAATCTCCAGCCATTTTTTCTTTGAGAAGGGGTCTCACTGTGTTGCCCATGCTGATCTGGCCTTCTAGCATGGGCTTACAGGCGTGAGGCACCAAGCCCAGCAGCTCCAGTCTTCTTTTAACAAGACTCCCGGTCGGAGTTCCTGGCTTTGCTAGTGAATATGTGGGCTCTGGCTCCAACACTCACCCTCTCAAGATTGGGGTTCCATAGTCACACAAAACTGGAATGGTCTCCACCCCCATTTCATATCTATAAAATGGGCACAGAGCCAGGTGCGCTGGGTCACATCTGTAATCCCAGCACTTTGAGAAGCAGACAGAAGCAGACGGGGGTGGATCATTTGAGGTCAGTAGTTCGAGACCAGCCTGGCCAACATGGTGAAAACCTGTTTCTACTAACAATACAAAAATTAGCCGGGCGGTAGTGGCGCGCCCCTGCAATCCCAGCTACTGGGGAGGTTAAGGCAGGAGAATTGCTTGAACCTGAGCGACAGTGGGACCCTGTCTCAAAATTTAAAAATGAAATGGGCACAGCAATTCCAACCCCCAGCTGTTCACTGATAATCAGACGCCGTAATTCGGTTTTAGAAAATGTTCAATGAACACTCAAAACACATTTATCTGTCAGAGGTAAAACTCTTTAATCTCAGAGCGCCCTTCCCAACTGCCGGTCCCCCAACCCCTCACTCTCTCCCCCACACCAGGGCCGGAGAGTGAGGCCCCCTGCCCCCCGCCTTGGGTGGACAAGGGCCCTTTAAGGCACCTGTGGAGGTGGGGAGCGAGGGTCGGGAGCTGGTACCATCCTGGATGCAGGGACGGGCTTCGATTGGCAGGCTGTTGTGGCGATGGATGGAACCAATGAAAGGGGGTGTCAGACGCAGGGACTGTTTGGGGCCATCCCTGAGGGGGTCAGGGGACAAGCTGTCAGGACTTGGGCAAAAACGACCCTAGCCCCTGTAGTGTAAAGAACGTAAATCGAAGGCCCCAGGCCAATTCTGGGAACGAGGGCTTGGCCACGCCCCCAGGAAGCTGGAGCTAATCAGGAGGGAGAACTCAAGCCCTTTACAAGATTCGAGCCAATCAAAAAAAAGAGCTGCCCAGCGACTAGAGGATGGAGCCAATGCCGTGCGAGCAAAGGCCTTGTCGCTAGGCAGAAAACAACGGAGTTGACCCGTTTAGGGCTTAGAACTGAGCGAGCCAATCCCTTAATAGAAGGAATCTGTCGCTGGGCAGAGAGGCGACAGATGCAATCGAGAAAAGGGACATATCCCGCTCCTAGGCGCTGGAAGTCGCGGGCTGGAAGGGCAGCGGGGATTGGCAGAGACGGGTCAATCCTGGGGGCTCCCATATCAGCCTCGGCTTGGCGGGCCCCGGGCATGGGGCGGGGACGTAGTGTGGGGTGGAGCGGACGCGGCCCGGGACGTTCCCACCCCGGGCCTCAGTATTTCCGCTTCAGCTTCTGGAAGTCGCTGGTGTTAAGCCGCGGCCGTGGCAGGTCCCCGAAAACCTGGGTGTCCTCGGCCTCCCGCAACACCAGCGCGCGCATGCTCGCCGCGATGCGGTCCAGGTCGGGCGAGGAAGGCTGCGGGAACGGCAACGGGGTGAGGTCGGCGCCGGCATGGCCACCCCTGCACCCACACGCAGCCCGGGTGTGCACCCTGGCTCCAAGCCCACTCCTAGCACGTCCCCACCCTGCCACTTGTGCCCTGCGATGCCCACTGCCAGCAGTGCTCTTCCCCGTCTTGCTCTTCGTAGGAACACTTCTTACCTGGTTCAGACACCTCCTCCACGAAGCCTTCCTGCCCCTCCCCCCTCCGCGTCTTGGCCTGGGACATTGCTTCCTACACATTGGAAGCGCTGTTGTCTGCTAGCCATTAAGGCTGCGTGCACTGTCTCATGTCTGAGGATCTGGGCTGGGGTTTCAGTCATGTTCCAATCAGACCTCTGCCGCCAACTAGCTGTGAGCAAGAGGTTTTGCTTCCCTAGGCCTCAGTCTCCCCTTCTCAGAAATGGGGTGGGCAACAGGATCTCTCTGTGAGGGCTGAGATTATCAGCTGTTATTGCTGTATCATGTGGCCACAGCTGTACAGAAAGGATCCCTCCCTGTGTCAGCCCCCACCAAGGAGTGGTCCTGCCATTCTGCCTGCAGCTCCAGCACCGAGTCCTGCCTCCACTACAGCCCCGACACCCTGAGCTGGGCCTGTCCCCTTGCAGGATGGGACCCAGAGACCCAGATCTGGAACTGGACCTGACCAGGGGGAGGCCAGAGCATTCAATGAGCTGTGTTGCCATGAGTCCCAAGCACAGAGAGCAGCAGCAGGTAGACCTGTCTGCACTGGGCCTGGTTCCTGGTCTTCAGCGCCCACTGCCTCGTGGAGGAAGGTGGGGAGGACATGACCACTGTGACTGCTGGTTTACACATGAGGACACTGAGGTCTGAAAGCAGGGACTGTGGGGACCCAGGCCTCCTCCCTCGAAGCCCACAGCTCCTTCCTAAAAGGTAGCTGGATTCCAGTCCCAGCTCTGCCCCTCAGGGAAGTCACATGTCCTCTCACTGCCTTAGTGAGGGGTGAGGAGGACCCACCCAGGCTAGCCCAGCCCAGGAGCTTCAAACAGGGATGAACGGGACCAGGGGGTAGGACACATTCTGCAAAGGGCCAGGAATGTGCAGGGTGGGGATGGGAGGTGATCTGAATGCTCCAAGCCTCAATTTCCCCATCTGGAGGGATGCCAAAGTACCTGTGCCTCGCCCAGAGCAAGTGTTCTATAAATGGAGACGCTCCTGGAAAGGAGAGGGCTTCTCTGTGAGGCACTAGGACACACGGTAAGGCTGCAGTTGTTAAAACCGCAAGGCTTGGGCCCAAGAACTTGCTTCTTGAGTTTGAGGGGAAGATTCAGTCAGCTTATGGGTGGAAAGCAGCATCCATGCCAGAGGGCTTCCTGGAGGAAGCGGCTCAGAGCCCTTCCAGCTGCCCTCCCTACCTCCCCCCATTTGCCCCTCACCGGCCCATTCTCCTCATCCGATGACCGTGCCTCTGTCCTCTTCTCCTTGAAGGCCCAGACGGGCACAGACACAGGCAGGGACTTGGCGTACTGCTGTGTGGGCAGGGCTGAGGCCGGGGGGACTGAGCAGGTGGGGGGGCCAGTGGGCGTCTCCTCGCTCAGGCTGCCATCTGAAAGCAGGGGTAAATTTCAGCTTCTGTCTGTGTCTTTGTGCCAGCCAGCCACCCACCTCCAGGTAGGGAGGGGACCAGCCTAGGACACTCACCGTCTGTGCTCTCAGGATCCGACTCACAGAAGGGGGGAAGGTCCTGGAGGGTGGCGTCCTCATCCATCACGAAGAGCCCTGTGGATGGTGTGAGTGAGAGGCCCGGGCCAGTGGGCGCCTGGCCATGCTCCGTGTGCCGTCCTCCCCGGCCCCGGCCACGGTCCCCGCCTCCCTGCTGAGACCCACTTCCTTCACCTCGAAAACCCTTCCCCTAGCCACCTGCCTGGTCATCGGCAGAAACACACCCTCTATGCATCTGTCACCTTCTCGGCTGCACACAACGTAGCTAACGGGAAACCGCTACGATCTGTTCGGGACGATGGGACTGAAAATACAGCCTGAGAGAAATATGGGATGAC